CCAGAATCCTACATTCTGTTGAAATTGTGATAATACAGGCTATACAATTGAAGTTATCTATTGTTAAGTAGGCTTGATCATTCACTTAAATGCCACGCCCACTTTGGATTATTTAGAGGGGGTGGGTCATAGAAAAATTTTTTAAAAATATTTCTGATTGAGACTCAATCATCATTCCAATTTTAATGCATGCAGGACATATATATGCAATTTTCTAAACCTTAAATCAATGCTATTTTTGCAGCATAACTTGCTTACATAGCATTTTTTCGTTAACGAGCCCCCCAAAATAGACACAAATTAGCAAATTTTGACAATCACATTCTGTTTCCATAGCAACCATCATACCTATAGTCACCAATTTTTTACCAGTTATTAATGACATATATGTGCATATATTCTGAAAAAAATGTGGTTATTCATAATGTTTTTGTAAAGTTATTAATTATTTTCTATGTACCCCCTACTTTTGTCATGTGGGGGTGTAAATATTGATTTTTTCCTAAACGCTGTAAAATTTTGCTTAATTATTGTCAAATTGTGGTGAGAATTACAAATAAGGATGTAACTAGCATGGTCTCCAAAATTCTACCTCCATACCGCAATTTAAGAGCTAGCCCATCACCTATTCTGTCAATAAGCTCATTATCAATATACCACTACAATTTAGGAGTCAGTGGATGCTAATTAATCTCTGAGTCCGAATCTAACATCAATTACGATGAAATGGCTAAAGCACGATTAATTAAATCAATCTATATCTGATAGAAACGGTAATTTAAAAAATCAGGGCCATTCACACGAGTTGAACTTAACTTAAGTACCATATACCATTCTCAATACGCTTTCTTTATCTTCCAATAAGTATCAAGATATCTGATCCAATATAGAAGTTATAAGTTTGAAGATGCAGAATGTCCGAAATCATTAAAAGTGAAAAACTTCCCTTTTAAGATATTTCAAATCTAATGATTACCCTCAAGCAGGATGAGAACGATTATAATCTTTTGAAACTAGGCATGACTTGTATCCTGCAGAGTCTAGTTAGACGAAGCTCTCTCTAAGAAGCGAAGTTGAACGAATACAAAGGGTACATGACACGGTGTGATGAGAGCAAAGGTGTTGAAAAATGGCATTTCGGCAAAATCGGTCAATCGAATCAGAAGTTTCTATGAAAAACACGAATGAAGCAATTTAAAAGTCACCAATAAGATAAGCAAATGTGTTTTCTATGTTCCTTCATATTTCTTAATTTTTTTTCGAACTGGGCCCGAAACATGATTAGATATGACCAACAAAAAAGTTAGTCTTCGGCCCTTACTCCAATATTTCACTAATATTGAAAATATTCAATATATAATTTGAAATGACGTATTTCACCCTATGCTTAGTGAGCGGACCTAATTTCAAGGGTGATGGTAAAGACGAGGCATGGCGCCCAAACCTGGCCTGTAACTAGGTGCACTGATGCTTTCTTCGCAAATTACATCGCCATTGCTCGTCATCGAAATTCTGATCGCCGAATAGACACTCTAGTAAACATTCATTTTGCATTGGATGTACATAACTAGAGACCGCCTTATTTCGCATATATGAAAAAATAAAACATATCTAGGTACATATATCTTTATATGTGACATCGATCAGGAATCATTGACATATTGACAATATTAGGTTGTAATTTCTTGCGGTAAATTCAAATTGTATCTTTAAACGACTGTTTCATCTTAACTATTCATTTTATTGGATGTAAAACAAACGGTATGCATAGTTTAACATCTTTCACTTCTAAAACAGCATAAAATATCACAATATCATCACCTTATGCTGCAATAATACGACTTAAAAGATTATGGTACTAATATTTTTGGGTTTTTGGGCGCCCTGCCTCGTCTTTACCATCACCCTTGAAATTAGCTCCGCTCACTAAGCATAGGGTGTATTTTTACTATTATTTCACGTCTTTTTAGTCGTTGTCAAAGAGAGAGAAATGTTGCCATTTGGTTGTCAGTGTTAGGATTTTTAGTAGGTTAGTATGAACTCAATATTTTGCATTCTTTATTAATAATCTTACATATCATCTATTTGTGTTCAGTTGATGTCACCTTCTTTTCTGCTTCTTTTAAATCCCAATTCAATTATCCATAATCCTTATTAAGCACTCTTTAGTTATTAAATCAGAATTTAATTTGATTGGTTAGGTTATGCATTTGAGCTTATGAGCATGTAAAACAGGATATTTTCATACTATTGAATTATGTCTCTAATGCAATAAGTCACGACTTAAGGGAAACCAAATTTTGGATTTTGATCGTAATAGTTGAATTTTCCGCCATTTTGAGAAAAGTAAAGATCTTAACTAAGATACTGAATTTTGATGACTAAAATGAGCTGAAACCAATGGATATCATGTTTTTTTCAATGGGAGCACTATCTTAGAGGAATTCAGTTTGCCTTTCAAGAACTAATTGAAATATTGCATTAAACATTGTAAAAATGATTGAATTTTTGGTGAACATCTTTGAAGAAGTATGTTGATGGGGTTGATGGCTAGCTAAATGTCTGTGAGTCCGATTGACTTTATTATCAATTCATATACTTTTCTTTGAGATAATGAGATAAAGATATACTCATGGTCAGAAAATAGTCATAATCCAAGATATAACCGTCTGAATTTTTTACGATAAACTACATAAATCTTTATGAATTACTTACTGAGAAACTTGTTATTTTAGATGACACGATCCACCATGATCGATGCAGAGCTGAATACAATTCCAAACATGTAGAAGTTGGTGACGGTACTAAAACAAGACTTTCTCTAAATAAATAAACATCGTTGAAAATGTCATATATATTCGTGATAATGGATTCGGCTGCCAGGTGACCTAATTTCATATATATTCCCTCGATCATCACTCACAGCAAACATGGAAGATAGGTGATGGTGCTAAAACAAGTTTTCCTCCAAATGGAGCTTACTTGTGAAACTTTCAGATATTTTTTATGATAATTAAATTGTCTTTCAGTGTAAAATGACCATCATACTCTTCCAAAGGACGATTTTCGGTTTTGAGAACCAAAGACGATTTTCGGACGTCGAAATATGCAGATGAAGTTGGTTCTCCAATTCGAAAATCGTCCTTTCATATTATAAACATAATTTTATATTATATTATTAGATAGATGTCATATAAGTCACACTCGTTATTGAATTCTTTTATATCTTTCGGGGTTGCAATTCCAATTTATTGTCCATGGGTGGTTTAAACGTTTCTACAACCACAAACAGCAGTTTACTTATGACAGATAAGCTGGCAGATCGGCTTAGCCAATCAAGATATCGAGAACCCTCGAAAATTCATCCTTGTGAGCAGGTGTCCAGAATCCGTAGAAGATTGACGGATCTCGGAGACCTGTGATCGAAGGATGTCGAAATTGCGAAAGCCCCATGTTCAAACCAACATCGGGAATGAGTTATTACAAAATATTATGTTGTTTTCATGGATTCCAATCCCTCTGTCCGAAATGTATTAATTTTGTTGATTAAACATTTTTCGCCCGTTAAATAAATAAAAACATAACCATGTAAGCTACATACGTGTATATATATATTAACGTAGTTGTTTATGTTACGCGGTAAACACGATACAAAAATATGTCATATTCCGCAACAAATATGGCATATTCACTTGCGGTGTATGACAGATTCACCTGCGGTATATGGCATACACACTAACCAATGAGAACGTGATACGGAAGTACGCAATTGTCAATTGCATCGATTGAACAAACAAGTAAAACGTTATAAATTATTATAATGATTACTGAATCAACAGTACTGTGTATCGAATATATTAACTTAGCAGAAGTATCAGTCACCAATCTTGAGTAATAAACTTACTCAATCAATCCAGGATTCATATATTAGTACTCGACGCACTGAATATATTGGTAATCCAGCGTAGTTTTACATTTAGAGTCGATTCTTGCAACCAATCAAATCAAGGCTTTCTGTATCACGTTTTCAACTGCGGTATATGTCATTTTCACCTGCGGTATATGGCATATTCCGCAAGTGAGTATGACATATTCCGCAGGTGAGTATCGGGTATTCACTGAAATCAATGTATCGCATATTCACTGCAGAATATCGCATACTCAACTGCGGAATATGCCATATACCGCAGGTGAGTATGGCATATTCACCCGTATCACAAATACCGCGCTACCATGAATATATGCCATATACCGCGTAACAGTTTACTGGGTGGCTTTAGAACATGTTATCACTCTTTGTTCTTTACATTGATGCACAATTCTGATGGATTTAATGAATTATACCCAGTATTATTGTACCATTGGTTTCTATGAGAACTAAAATTTTAATGCATTTTTCTCTGAACCATTTCATCATCCAAGTACCATCACAATCCGAGACCATACATAACACCATGGGACATTTCATTACAAGACATGTTTAAAAAGATTTATTGTTAACCAATACTCATAACATCAAAAATACTTGTAGAGACTAGTATTCATACAAGATACAAAACGAAGGACTCTGCTGGGTAAACAACGACCTTAAACTGGAGGCTTAATTCAAATTTTGGTCTTATTTCTTTGTAAAGGGTACATAAAAAAAACACGCGGCCCTTCACGCAAACGATAATAATTCCGTGCTTTCATGAATTACATGGGGTTGAATGTTGAATGCTGTCCTAGATATGTAATAAGAGTGTCTTATAATTTATGAGAATTCGACTCTTCTAATCCAACTCGAGTTGACTATAGTGTCTTTGTTGTTGCAGTTATTGGTTTGTCAATATTTGTAACAGTTGCTTGTTTATATTTGATGGTACATGCTGTCAGTTGTTTATGAAGCTTAATAGGACATGCACTTGGGGAACACTACTAAATTATTAATCATGTAGGCCTAATAATAAATCCTCCGTTGTGTGTCTAAGTGGAATGTCACTTGCATTAGTATTAGAGATGACAAGTTAGCAAAGAACAGTCAAGGTACGAATATAATAAACATAGTATGCAAGGGGTTATCGAACCAAACGAGGTGTATACGACTTGAAAAAACACAACTACTTGTAGTAGACGGGCAGACTTCTAATTCGATAGACAACTGCAAGAACCAATATTAAGCAAACCTGAACAGTAGAGTGGAAGTGGAAGAGTCAGAGTAAGTAAGATTAACCCTAATTTCTGCAGGGGGGGGGGGGGGGGGGGGTAGATTGACTCCCCTCGATTTTTTCGATAATCTTTTTTTGGAAAGTTGTTTTGTACCTCCTCTATTTTTCTACATTGAGCCACATATATAAGACACTTTTTGGCGTAAAAATCAAGGTAATTGAGGGTTGATGGACAAAGTTATGGCAGTCGGAAGTTGATGCCAATAATAATGAAATTCATAAAATATTGATAGTTACCTTTTTGCAAATACTGTAGAAAATGCGATCATTATCGCTCTGTTTGATACATAGAATTCCTTTTCCAACATTAGTGTGTGCCAAAACCCCAGAAAATCACAAAAACCTATGTTGTGGTAGCTTACTATGAAGTGACCCATTATCATTATAGATTGGTCCATCAACTATTCATTTTTACTTGTCTGCACTCAAAAAGGTGACACGAAAGGGCTAAACGGCTTGCACCAAGGTGCAACCATCAAAAAGATGAGTTTGATAAAAAAAATTTTTTTTTCAAATAATAGCAATGGGTATACAATATAGGAGGCAAATTTGGTATTGATAAGTATGATAGTCCATTTGCGTGTGGCCATTTTTATAAAAAACAATAATTGTGAAGAATTATATATTTCTGACCTGAAAATACCATATTTATTCAAAAGTCATGGTTGTTAATGATAATATTCCTATTTCACCTATTCAATGTTTTCAAAATATTTTAATTACCATTATATTCATTTTTGGCAAAGTAAATAAATATAGGGCTCACACAAGGATCAACTTTATTTGCAATATTTTCATATTTAGTGATGTTTTGAAAAAATATAAGGTTAAACACAATTTTATTTGTTAAATGTTTAACAAAATAAACAGAGTGTGTTTATTTCATTGTTTTGACTGAAAAATCGCAATTCATTGCTCTTCCTCTTAGAACGGCAGGGGATATACAAGTACATAAACAGTCTTAAAAAACGTTGATCCTTGTGTAAGCCCTACACTTATTTACTTTGCCAGAAACTGATATAATGATTATTCGGTGGTATGAAAATCATTTCAGAGGTAAAATAGGAAGAATGTCTTTGAACTTGGAATAAAAAGCATTATATGGTTAGAAATACCCAATTTTTACCATAATTGTTTTTAATAATATAACCCTCATGGACTATCTTTACATTTCAATAACCAATGTGCATTATATTTTGCATGTTTTACTGCAATTATTTGTAAAAATATTTTTAAATCTTACATTTTTGACTGGAAAGTGAAGAGACATACTCAAATATACTCATATTATTGGTCACATTTGGTTATTTCACCCAAACAGATTCGGGATTTTTTAGTCCAGGCATATGAAGAAACTAGTGTGAATTAAATGGTCATATTATACAATACAATACAATACTGATCCAATTCAGAATTACTAGAGAAAGTAACTCTCGTGGCTGTTGATTACTGATTGCAGTCATTAAACTAATGACCTCATATTTGGATGTCCTCTCTCCTGATATGATTTTACAATTCACTTCAAATTGGCAAAGGACCAGGTATAGTATGGCAAGTGATATCTGATCGTCGTATATTTTACCATGACTACTTTCTCAATATAAATATGACATTTCTCAAAAACACAATATGTTATCTTTCAAGAAAATTCAATTCTCAATGATTATAAAAATATCATTCAAACAATCTAAAAAACTATGAATGGGGAACCCATCTCAACATTTTTTTGAAATTATTTACTCAACAGAGGTTCTTCTTTTTTATTTGAATTGCATGAAAATATTATTCAACAAGTGGTCTAAAACTTTTTCATTAGTAGAATTGAAATGAAAGTCTAGTTTTGGAGATATCAATTTTCAATGACCACAATTATGTTGAAAACAATGGATAGTTTGAGTTTTTCCAATGGAAAATAACATGGAACTTGTGGTTTTTAACTTTATCGCATTTCAATACCCGTCCCCTTTTCAGAATTTGTTAATTCATTAGCGTAGAAGAACTTTTGATATATTCGAATTAAGAAAAAATACTTTAGAAAATAAGCCTAATATTTTTCAAAAAGTGATAAGGTGGGGCTCTTATCAATAATATTTCAGATATATTTTCAAATATTTATATTTTCAATTTCAATTTATTGATACATTCAAGCATTATGTTTAAGAATGTTATTAATAACAGGTGGCACCACATTTGATGCTTATACCCGTACATATAGTAGTAAAATCATGTAGTGTATCATTAAGTTGTCAAGGAATCAAACCAGAATGAAATCATAAAAAATTGAAGTTGAAAAATAAAGGTTGAGGGGGATTCATGATGTTTTTTCTTTTCAAGTGAAGAAGTTGGATGATATCATTTTTATCACAGGGACTTTACATAAGAAAAATCATATTGTTTTCACAAAAACACGTTCAGCCCCAAAACGCCAAATACTTATTAGATATTGGGCTATCACCTTGAAATGATCTTGATCCATAAACATTGACTTATAGATCTCTGGTCATTAAATTGGTCATTAAATAGGACTGTAGCCCCACATTTGCCAACTACTTAGATATTGAACTTGAAATGACCTTGACACCAGGTCACCTAATCATTGGTCGCCAAAGGTCACAATTGTTCTCAATTGCCTTTAAACTCCAAATTGCGAGATATTGACCTTGGAAGTCACCCTATCATGAGTCGCTAGGGGCCACAGCAGATACCAGGGCCTTAATACACCAAATACTTAGATACTGATATTTGACCTTGAAATAACCTTGACCTCAGGTCACACATTCATGATTCACAAAGGGTAACCTCAGCCCAAAAACGCCAAATATTTAGATATTGATGACCTTGAAATGATCTTGACCTATAGACCTTGACCCTGACAACAGGTCACCTAATAATCGGTTGTCAAGGGTCAGAATTGTTCTCAATTGCCTTAAAACACCAAATTGCTAGATATTGACCTTGAAATTACCTACACCCATTCAATTGATCTTTACCTCAGGTCACATAATCATCGGTTGTGAAGGGTCACACCATCGGCAAAATGTCTTAAAATGCCAACTATCCTAGATATTGATATTTTAAACTTGAAATTACCCTGACTTTTGACCTATGTTGAATACACATTTTATGAACAAAACTACTTACGAAGTTGAAAACTGATCTTTTTGAAATGAAATTGCTGCTAATGTTTCAAAACTAAGGTATCTTTATTGCAAAAGTACTATTCAAATTGAATAAACCAAAAGAGATAGATTATCTAATCTTCCATCAGATTTAGTAAAATTATAACTCTTAAGTAAATGTTGCAATGAATACTCACACATATCTTGTTGTATATCAATCTAGTGCAACTGCTACAGGTATCACTCTGACACGTATCTGTGAACAAATCAAACTTCTTTGATGTTGATGTAATGCAAATTGGTATCTTTTAATATGACGTCCGTAAGATAAACCATCAATACTAGGATTGTCAAAACTTGCATTAATAAAATCAATTCCCTCATCACTGTCACACCCATTACTACAAGATGATGCCTCTTAGATCACTGTCTGCAAGCTATAAACTAAGTGATGCACTATATGCTCGTAATACTTTTTTATTCAAAATCAAAAGTCAATGATACTTTTCCTATTTTACCTATTAAATGATTTTTATATATCCGAATAACCATTATGTACGTTTTTGACAAAGTAAATAATTGTAGGGCTCACACAAGGATCAACTTTTTGAAGAAGACTTTTTCGTACTGGTGTAGACTCTCCTGCTTGCGAAGCAAGGGCGATGAATTGAGATTTTTCAGTCGAAACAAGAAAACAAACATATAATTGTTTTTTCTTCAACAATTAAAAAATAAAATTCAGTTTACCTTCGTATTTTTTCAAAACATCACTTAATATGAAAATGCTATGAACAAAGTTGATCCTTGTGTGAGCCCTATAATTATTTACTTTGTCAAAAACTAATGAAATGGTTATTGGTATATTTAAAAAACACTGACTATATAAAATAGGAATAATATCCTTGACAACAGTAACTTTTTAATTGAAATCGCATTTTAAGGTCATAAATATCCAATTTTTTACCATAATTGTTTTTCATAAAATTACCACACCCGAATGGACTATCATTACACATCAATATCAAATTTGCATCTTATTTTGTATACTTACAAGTATTATTTAAAAAAATGTATATTTTTCAAACTCATCTTTTTGACGGTCGCACCTTGGTGCAAGCCGTTTAGCCCTTTCGTGTCACTATTTTGACTGCAGACAAGTAAAAATGAATAGATAATAGATCAATCTAAAATGACTATGGGTCAATTCATAGTAAGCTACCACAACATAGGTTTAGCCTAACTAAGCCACTTAGGAAGCAATTTGGCACACACTACATGTTTTATTTCATTGAAATCGAGCCACTATTGACTATCTTATGAATTGTTAAAGGTAAAATACGGTTAATCAACAAATATTTGCGATTCGCGTTGTCAAAAAGAACTCAATGAATACCTTTGAATTATTTTGCATTCCAAAAATTATGGTATCAGAATAATCAGTATGATAGAATGAACACGTGATTGAATGAATGGTTTTAGTGACGTGCCATTTTCCGTGTATGAAGAAAGCTATACGAGTAGATAAATGGGGTAAGTTGTTGGCCGGTCCACCCGTTGTCCGTTTTCGCTTGCCTTTTCAGTTTTATGTTTGTTTTGTCAATCGCTATCCATCGGGCATTGTCATAGAAAATTAAATATATGCTGAAATATGTCAGATATTTACACCAACGGCCCCATTTTTCGAGTCCATGATAGGACAATGTGCCAAAGCATTGGCCTGACGCCCAAGGCAAAAGTGCGGTAGAATACCCCACGGGAGATCTCCCGTACAGACAGTACGGAAGATTGCTAATTTTGAGATTGAATAATTAGTTGGGGTTTAGAAACGAATTAATGAGTGTAAATGCATCATTTCTCCATTGAATTCATCATTTCTGTATATTATTAAAATAATTGTCGGAATGAGATGGAGAAATGAGAACCCCAAGTAAGTATAATTAGCCTAATCCAACGGGGAGTCTAGCAAGTTTATTTCTATTTTGCCGACTCCCATTTACGATATCATCACTTAAACAACCAGGACTAGTTACTAATTCTGAAGCAAGAATGTGAGGATTAATGTCCCTTTTGGGCCTTGGACTTGTACATTATGCCTCTGTAGCTTTTAGCTAAAGTATAACTTTGCAGTAATAGCCCAATAGGTAACATTTGATTTATCGTCACTCCCTCCGCCAAGTTTATACATTGTTGTTAAAAAATATAATATACTTTTATGCCTCGGAGACAGCAGGGTCTGAATGCTGGGTATGCGTCCTTTTATTGTTGCGTGCGGAGAAGTACATGGAGCTTGTGTCTATCTCCATGTAACCATGGTAACTATTAACATGGTGAAGAGGTTTAAATAGCAGTGATGGTTGGGATTAGGGAGTTACTTTCATTATCTTGTGATGTCATTTTCCTAACATGCTCTCCGATAAAATGATTTTCTTCCTTTGGCTATATTCTAATGTTCTTCTGTGTCATAAATAACTTTCATATTAGAAATGAAAACCAAGTACACTGGTGATCCACTCGATTACGCTGGTTACCGAAACGGTCCGTTTCGGTAACAAAATGTCGGAACATCGAAGCTACGATTTTTCTCTTTTCCTTGTTTCACACCTTGTAGGCAGAATTCTCACGACATTTTTAACACAAACGTGTATCACTAACATATGTTAACATATAAACGCCGTGGGGATTCTGCCTACAACGCGTGAAATAGGGAAAAAAGAAAAATCGAACCTTCGACGATCGGACATTTTGTTACCAAAACGAACCGTTTCGGTAACCAGCATAATCGAGCAGATCACCAGTGAAGTAGCTATTTCCATATTACTTAAGACGTCGTGGTGTATAATGAATTTGACATGCGCCTTTCCAGGATCGTAAAGATAACTGCTTTTGAGTCGTTTCCACAGATATGTCATACTTTATTTTACTATCATGTTTGAGAGACAATACATTTCGTTTCAAGCGGATGTAACTTAATAGTGCTTGATATAATTTTTTATCTCGAATGAATAAAGTAATAATCTCAGAAGCAGCTTCTATCGTATCCTCAGGCATCATGAGACATTTCCCATAACAATCAAATGACGAAAAACAATGAGGTCTAAGTGTAGCTTCATCGCAGCCAGAGGGTATCAAATGACCTTTCCAATAAAATATAAAGTAGCATGATATCAAATGATGAAATCTTGTTTTCTAAGCCAGGTATCGCAGTTGCAATTGAAGAACTGAATAAGTTAATGTTGATTTACCAGGCACAATAAGTTATATTCGTATTTTTTCAGAGAAACAATAATTTTCTGCAAAATTGTAACAAAAATCCTAAAATAGCAAAAATATAAGAGAGTCCCACCGGCACACAAGGCCCCTTCAGTTCAGATTCCTCAACCATGTTGGAATTGTTACATACAGCGGCATATGGAAATATTTCAAGTGAGAACGGGAACTTTTTCAGAATGGCATCTTGGACCTAAATCACTTTGATGGTGACAAGTGGTATTTTTGAGAATAAATAACTTATGCACTGCCAGAGCTAAAAGTTCAGAGATACATTTCGGAACGGGTAACCCAGATACTGATGAGATACGGCATTCTTCAGGTCGTTTCTCCCCATTGTCGTATTAATATTACTAAATAATCTAACAAAGAAGCCTATTGGAACTGGTCAGTATAATCTTACAAAATATACAAAATAATTAATTTTTTCTAAATATGTTAAATTTATCTAACCAATCGTAAAATACAAAACGAGCTATGTTGGTATTTTATCCTTTATTGTAGCAAAACATCTAGAAGTGCAATTACGATATCGTTCCTAAATCATTAAAGGGATTAATTTATCTCCTCATCAACCTGCGATTCGATCGATGTTAGTGTTGGAGACACGAGCAAGCAGTTGTTTCTTGCTTTGTTAGTGTATAATTATTGATCAAAGTCTAACTTAGGTACACTCCCCTCCATAAGTTTGGCAACCTTTTTCCCCCATTGAACTACGTGTTAAAGCCTCTTTACCTTTGAATTTTTATTTACTTAACCTGCGATGAAAATACTTATACTATTGATGGAAACGTAATTTGATTTTAATTCCAATACCTCCAAATTTTCTCAATTTTTTCCTTAATTACAATAGGTCGAAAATTGATGATAAATTTGATTAATTTTTTAAAATCGACATTCCCATGTTAACCAATGGGAAATGGTAGGTTTGCCGCAAGTCATATGACAGGATATCCATCAATCCGAGTCCTTGCAAAAAATACGAGTTAGGCAGGCAATTGAATTTTCTAACTTTATTTAGCAAAAAAATGATATGTTTCTTCAGGTTCAACAAAGTTATAGGGCTTTAAAGTCAAAATTGTTTTTCAAAAAACCTCTCCCATTAAAATAACACAGGAGGCGAAAAATTATTTTCAAAAATGACTTTGAAGCGCTGTAACTTTAATATTCATCAAATAAACTAAACACTTAGTGTTAAAAAAAGTAAGACAATTCAATTTTCAAAATAAAAATATTTTTTGCTGAATCTTTTACTGAAAAGATATCCTGATTTCTGATTTGCCCCAAACCCTCCATTTCCCATTGGATTACATGGGAATGACGATTTTCAAAAATTCATCAAAATCGTCAATTTTCGACCTATTGTAATTGAGAAAAATAATTGAGAAAATTTGGAGGTATTGGAAATAAAGTCAAGTTACGTTTCCATCAATGATGGAGAGGTTAAGCTAACGATGTTTTTCACAACGTAACCGTGAACGCAAAGTACAAAAATTAACAAAGGAATGTATCGAGCGCTCATAGTTTTATGCGCGCTTAGTCTACTTCAGATACTCTTTCAGCTTCAGAGTTTCGGGTTTAGAACGGGAGATTTTGAAATTTGACGTTGGGTCAACGGGAACCATTTTACTCCTGTCTATTGAACACTATGCTGTCAATTTTGATTTCGATGCACAGTTGAATTCTTGCTGAACACGATGATGTATGTCATGCATGATTTAGCGCCAAAAATCTTACGAAACGAGCTCGTTTAAAATATGTATTAGAAAACCAGCTATAAAACCGCATCAATGACATACTATATAGAATCATTACACGCAATGGTGTAGTCTAAACAAACACTGGATTTGAACGGCTATTTATATGAGAAGGCTACATGAATTTGTATATGGTCGAGTGATACGTACAGGTTCAGTTTCGATTATATATGCAAAGCTTAACCTCTCAATTATAAGTTATTTCAAACGTAAAGAGGCTTTAACACATAGTTCAATGGGGAAAAAAGGTTGCCAAACTTATGGAGGGGAGTGTATCAATCGAAACAATCGACCCCACAAATAAAACACAACGTTCAGTTAGAAGAAATTGATGTATCACGAAACTTTGATTACAAGTTACCAAAGATTTACGATATACATGCGCATATAACACCTACTAACTTGATTTAGGATAATACTCGACAAAACGCTATAAAAGGTGAGTTTTGCATCGTTCACAAGACATGCAGCGTCCATTAGCTGATTGAAATGAATGTAACAGTACAGTAGAAACGTATGTGCCACAATCGCTTTGACCGCATACCCATAACAGGTAGGTAGTCGTAATTTCTCCAATACGATGAACTTCCGCAATAAAGCGAATGAAAACACTTCGTAGAATCTGAGACTGACATACACTAAGGTAGAATGTAGACATTAAAAATATTTCTTTCGGGAAACATCACCAAAAAGAGTATTGTAAAAATCAAGAAATACGATTTTGAGGGAGAAATACAAGACGTTAAATAAAAATTGATAAAAACGCCGTATAGTAATGTTGTTTTATATTTCTGACTCATTGTTCGAGATCGGCTGTGTCGGCCTATGTTATTGTCTTTATGAATTGTATTGCAGATCTCCATTGTGGGATGCACATTCCCGACTATCCCTTTTGAATAGAGCTTAAGATAAAAAGAGACTCTGAAAATCAGAATGGCAGATATCAATCACTAACAAATATCTAAATTGTCTCTAAACCACATGATTCAGAAATGTGTCTTTTTTAACTCATCAAATTCTCTAATTATCAATAAAAATCGAAGTAAAATATTATAAGTCTTCCATTTCCACCATAATCATGCTTATTACAACCCGGAAACAGACGACCTACTTAAGCACTTAGTTTAGACTTAATACGTGGATTAGAATGCTCCCCCGGAGAATATGCTTGAGTTATTAGTTTATGAACAAAATACATAAACAGAATCAAGTTGATGTTTAGTTAGCACAATCTAATTCCAGAAACAAGGCACAAAGAACAGAGACAGCCATGGTGACTGTTGGAACTGTATGCAAGCGACGCTGTTGGCACCCTATTTACGGACTTTTCCTCGGTTGTGGCGCTCTGTTCATCATAAAAGGTAGGCTTCGATTCATTCTGATACCCATCGCATCTATGTATTAAATTACTGAATAATATATTTATTAGTTATCGTAAATCAATTTAATTAATTGGTATTACAAAATAATTACATGTATTTTTCACGACTTGACTCTCTTCCATAATAATTTATTTTTCACTTCATTATATAAAGAGGTTGTGGAACATGAATTTTATTCCGAAGCCAATATCATATTCTTTCAACAAAATTATATTCCACCACGACCAGCAATAACCTATTTATTCCGTAATATTAAATTCTGAAACAGGATTTTCTAAATATCAATTCTATTCATTGTCTCTCTCCTAGGGAAAATATGTTATTATGGAAAAATAATGTATATTTTAAGTTTTATTTCATGACATTTAAAAGACAAGGTGCAATTATTGGCAAATATCCCTATGATCAAAATGAATCATTCGTAGGTGTAACATGAAGAATAAAATGTCATATAATACTTTGGAAAATATTAAAGTGCTCGGACACACATAAGCTGAGATAGGGATCATTTCGTTCAGTAAGGTTGTATTGACTTACATGGGGCTGTGCACCATTGACTTAACATGAGGATATCAGCAGATCCCAATAGAGGCCATTGGTTTCCATTGATTATCACAGAAATACCAAAAATACACTATGACCTGAATCGATTGCAAACTTAATAATTTCACAATACGACACAAATGGTTTATCTCATCAAATGTGCAAATATGAAGTTTGCAATCGATTCAGGTCATACTCAAAATTAAAAGATTGTACATTTTTTCTTCATTTTTTTCCCCTACAAAATGGCTATAGAAAAATGCTCCAAAAACAACTTTTACACTTATCAAATATCATACAAGTTTGTAAAACCAAAGATTATACTATTATATTTCATTATGTAGTAACATATTTGGATAAGATGCAGGGATGCGTAGGATGTAAATGGATTTTGACAGACACAAAAATACTTCCTGGTTTGGAATCTATGCCTCTACACTTCATGATTGAATTATGACCCTTATAAGTGGCCTATACATCAATACAGTGCTGAATATAGGTCAACAAGATACTAGTGTGCATATAAATGTAATAATTGAAGCAGAATACTCATTTTGAAAAATCAGATGAATTATTTTTTCCCCATGGGGAGATCCCAATGGAGGGTGTATAAGGTCCTTTGGTTTTGAATGATAATGGTTAGAGCATTGTTTACATCATTATTCTCCTGTTATTTCAGAAATTATACAATTGCACAAAACGGTAGAGGAAAAAATCATTGAAAACGTAGCCAGGCAAACTTTCCCGTTAAGTGAAGCAAATGGAGGAACGGTGGACGAAGAAGCGGCCAAGTCTCCCGGTGAAATCCAGCAAACGAGAATCGAAACATTGAGAAAAGTATGCCAAGTTAACAGTTTGAATAAAGATCTTGTGATTTCTGAATTGTGGAAGGGGTTCTTTTTTGTCGATCAAGAGCTCAAGGTCGTATATTGTGGAGTTCCCAAAGTTGGATGCACTTTTTTGAAGAGACTCTTTTACGTTCTCTCGGGGAAGAGTCGATCAAAAAACCCATATGATATATCCGCTAATGCAGCACATGGTCTGCCGTTGGAAACATTTCAAACTCATAATGACTCTGAGATCGCTTATTTTATTGAGCACTACAAAAAAGTATTATTTGTTCGAGAACCCATTAAACGTTTGATATCGGGCTATAATGATAAAATAAGGGCTATAAACCCTGGATACTGGTCGGGGTTAGGGCGACGCATAATAAAAACAGTCAGAAGAAATTACAGCGAAATTTCTGAAAGGTGTGGACACGATGTTTCCTTCCAGGAGTTCCTTGATCATAGAATATATGAAGAGATAGGCCAGTCAAAACCTGATATGCATTGGGACACGGTGTACCGCACATGCCATCCCTGCATGATCAAGTACGACTTCATTGGTAAGATGGAATCGTTCAATGATGACGTAAACCTGTTCCTTCATCAAATCAATGCGCGAAAGGATATAGTCCTTCATGAAGACTACACAAGTAAACTTGATAATATTTTGATAGAGGTTCAAAATTTCTATGACAGAGTTAACAAATCTGCAGAATGTGGATTAACATTTGAGGAAATCGTCAAACGTTATTGGGAGGTTTTATTTCATAAAAACTTGATCACCCCGCCAACAACGCTTCCAAACATACAAAAAACTACAACCAAAGAAGAACTGACAGAAATTATGATAGATTTGTATCATCGACAAAAAGCAACTAAAACATTGACTAATAAATCGTTTGATGTTCTCAAATCAGTGTCTAAAGCCACCATAGCAAAACTTCAAGATTTTTACAAATATGACTTCGAAATGTTTGGATACAATAAAACTGAAATATGACTGACTGTTCATAATAATAGGAAAATTATTTTAAAGCAACGGGTTGTCAAAATGAGTTCATTTATAGTTCTTGCGTGTTTTCTCTTAGACAGGTTCCAATTTCAGAATATCTCAAGGGAAAGGGTTTTTGAGGCATTTTTTAGAAAAAGCAACAGACATATTTTTTCTGGATGAGTTTTTCATGCTGATAAAGATATTAAAAGATGACAGCTCAACGGGGTGGTCACGACACTGAATTTTAGCGTTTTTACCCCCCTGTGAAATTATTTTAGGGGGTACTATAATATTAGTTCATAACTCAAAGTATATATGAACTATTGTTCTGAGTTCTACAGCATACATTGTTAGTACAGAGATAAATACTATCCTAAAATTATAGGTTGATATCTTTGTTGGTTTCGGAAAAATGCAATTAATTAGAAAAAAATATGCAATTTTTGTCATTTTTCTTGCTTATTTTATATTTGTAGCTTCAAGCAAAATATGATAACTTAAACAGCTCAAAGTAGTATTCTAACAACATTCCCAAGCTATGTGTGATATTGTAATACATCTATTATAGTGATGAAGTACTATTTTGTAATTTTAATATGTCTTTATAGTGCCCTACCCCTGGTAAATAGAAGAAAGTTGGTGTGGTTTTCTTCTGGTTTTAACATTTTATTGTCTTCTTAGTTGAAGATACAATCAATTCTGTCAGTTAACCATGAGTAGCTTTACAATGGTTAACTATTCCCATGAATAGAGGGTTGGGACCTCAAAAATACCAGAACTATTAAGTGGCATCCTTGGGCAACCCTCTTCAGAGCATTTTCCTTATATAATCCGATAAAATCTGCAGGGGACACTATTAGAAACCTATATATCTAAGATACTAATGAAGATACTGAATTCAAATTTTCAGGATTTGGTTCTGGTATGATAGGTAATCTGTATGACAAAAATGACAAAAAGAAAAAACTCTGTTGCCATAGTTACAAGAATACGACACTATTTGTTTCCTAAGAAATGTGTTTTAAGAGGTTTTGTCATTTTCTTCATATTTTTAATTCTAAATATGTCTACAATGTGGGATGATTAAAATTATGGTAAAGTAATCTTTTCTATTGTTCTATTGTTCTCTAAAACAGAAGTTGCTATGGCGACACACAGATCATAGAAAAAATCCTGGGATGATCGCCCTATTTGTCAGGAAATTAAAATGGAAACTGAAAAATGAGTTTCTTCCTACTGAATAGCAATTTGGTAGACCAAGGCTGACACGCACAGGAGAAAACATCTATCAGTTCTATGTCATTTTGTTGTTATTTTTTTATTTATCGTGCTCTGGGACTTATAACACCTAATGCCGAATCTTTTCCAACTGCAAAGGAAGGCAAGATTTTAATAATGAACATTCATATATCTCAACAAATATTGCATAAGATTTGGACAATGATGATGAAACTCTGAGGGAAAATTAGACGAAACATTAATGTGAGTGGTCCAAAAATAACACTTACATGTTTTGAAAAAGTTATGCTCTCGGGTGAATCAGTGCTCATTTAAGGATAGTCTGAATCAGGTGAATTTTTTAACCTAATTGTACCCCTCCCCCAAAACCCCCAAATTTTGACAATTGTCGAAAAGTGGCAAACAACAATTAAACAAACATCATTAAAGTTCAATATGGCTATTTCGCTTCTATGTCATAAAGATATGGTACGATCTCAGGTCAATCAATAAATTTAACAAGTGACACTCTATCTTATGAAGAAAATATTATCGTATTTGAAGACATGTCAAAAATTTGGTGGAAATAATTTTGTCACTCCTGATTTGACCTGGAAAGGTTCAGGTAAGTTATCACAAACAATTTCAGACAGTTATATCTTTGATTATGACTATTTTCTGACCATGAAGATAGGTATACAGGGATAATAAAGTCAATCGGACTCGGAGATATTTCACTAGCAATCAACCCATCAATATATTTTTTCAAAGTTGTTGACCTCATTTCCACCAAAAATGCTATCATTTTAACAATGTTTAATGCATTACTATTCTTTATTTTAATGTATCAAATAGCTCTTGAAAAGAAAACTGAATTCCCCTAAGATTAGTGTTCCCCATGTTATTTCCCGTTTGAAAAAATTCATGCTATCCATTGATTTCAGTTCATTTTGGTCATCCAAATTCAGTGTCTTTGAAGTCCCTGGAGCAATCCACTTTTCCTCTTAGGAAATAGAACATGTCTCAAAGCATATTCTAATTATGCATTCAACAATATAATTAAAGGTTGCATCTTTGGTAAAAATTAGGTCAACATTTTTAGTAAAAAGTATGTTGATTGGGCCATTCCCTTTAATATCACTTAGGTCTGATTAATCATTATATTTACTTTTCGTGAAGATAATTATGAATAGATCTAAAAGATATACCCATGTATGTTCATGGTCAGAAAATATTCATAATTCAAGTTAGAATTGTCTGAAGTTGTTTGCGATAACCTACATGCTCCTTTATAACATTATTATGTAAATACAGTAGAACCTGTGTAAGTGGAACACTCTCCATTTTGCCATAAAGCGTTCCACTTAGAAGGTGTTCCACTTACGGAGGTTTTGGGTTCGCAGGGAACATACAAGATCAAATATAGGACTAACATGTATCATTGGAATATGATTCTCCCTTCATTACAGGGCAGGTATATACCATTAATAATCCATTTATTTTACTCAAAAAGGTATCTGACATTCTTAATCCTCCTCATTCTGCCAAAATGTTTTCTGACATTCTTAATCCTCCTAATTTTGCCAGTCTCAGGTACAAGGATTAGGCAATTAAGTTTTAAAGACTTGTTCCTACTGCTTATAATTCAATTGTTTTTAAATGACATTTTTAATCTTACTTATTAAGTTTGAAACAAACAGCAAGGGATATTAATTAGTGGTAGCATCACGTGTCCAGTTCTACAGGAGGTTAATCCAATTTTCTGAATGAAAATCTTATGAAATCCTAATTTGCTGATTATCAAATTAATTATTGGTTGCATCACATGTTGACCTCTACAGGAGGTTAATCCATTAAAATCCTAATTTGCCAATTATCACAGTATTACCTGTTTTCATACCCAGATATCATTGAAGGAGATTAATTCTGTTTACATATCAATATTGAAATCTATGGAAATTGACTGTTCCACTTAGCAGGTTAATTTTTCAATATGGGGTGTTCACTGTTCAAGTTTGGAGGTGTTCCACTTACAGAGGTTCAAATAACATTAAGTCAATGGGTTTTTAAAACGGGACTTTGAAAAGGCATTCCACTTGGGAGGTGTTCCACTTACCGAGGTGTTCCACTTAGCAGGTTCTACTGTACATTACTTGTGCATGATGACCACCATAGACTAGTTGCTCAAATGAGATCAATTGATGATTATAATGTTTAGACTTTATGTCAATGTCCAGACTGTATGCCAACCTCTCTAGTATGTGATTACACTAGATTTCATTATGATACATGCACTTAATTGAAAACTTACATATAAAATATCTTAAGTCCTATATTCTAGTAATAAATGAATTAGAATGTCACCTAACATTTGATGATGGTATGAATTTATTGATTTGGTGTCTATCAACACATGTTTCTAACTTAATGCTGCAAAATGATAAAATTCACCACATCCACTTTCTTCAATTTTCCAGGGGTAGGGCACTATAAAGTCATATTAAAATTACAAAATAGTACTTCATAACTAAAATAGATGAATTACAATACCACACATAGCTTGGAAATGTTTTTAGAATACTACTATGAGCTGTTAAAGCTCTCATATTTTGCTTGAAGCTACAAATATAAAATTGGCAAGACAAAAATTGCGTATCTTTTCCCTGTTTTTTGTATTTTTCTGAGACCAATAAGGGTATCAACCCATAACTTTAGGATAGTATTCATATTTGTACTAGCAATGTATGATGTACAACTCAGAACAATAGCTCATATATCCTTTGAGTAATGAACTAGTTTCATAGTGCCCCCTAGAATATTTTCCTAGGGGGGTAAAAATGCCAAAATTTAGTGTCGTGACCACCCCGTTGAGCTGTCATCTTTTAATATCTTTATCAGCATGAAAAACTGATCTAGTAAAAATAGGTCTGTTGCTTTTTCTAAAAAATGCCTCAAAAACTTGAATTATTTGAATTGGAACCTGTCTATCTTTCCTGTTCATGGTTCAGAAAAATATTTTTAAGTAATAGGTTATAAACGCGGCGATGTGAGTCTTGTCTGTCAATCCATTTAAACCATCAGGAAAATCAAAAGTGACCACCTTAAAAGTTAGACAGCATGCCCAAGATTTTGATATCAAGACGATCTCTGTGATTTTCGAATCAATCGTTTGTACGATTCGCTGCACAGTAATATTGAAAGAAACTATCGAAAATTATAGATGTAGCCCGTGTTGTAATACGGATCACTGCTCTTCTTAAAGGTATTTGGGAAATGACTCTTTGGGCCCTGATTCAAAGATGATAGAAAAAACAAGACAAAAGAAAATACAGATATGCCAGTCAAATAAGATTTATTTCATTCCGTTTACAACATTTAAAGACCGTTTACGGATCGATAATCTAAAAGCAAAGCATTAAAAACATCGGGTATATTTGAATTACAATAGTTGATTTAAATACATATACCACATTATCTGCACCTGTCATGTATACTATATAGTCCTACACTTTGGCCGTGATTTCACATGACTCCTTGATTTGTTTTAAATGGTCCTCTTTTCAATACACGAGTCAGATGGGATCAGCATAATTAAATGACGTGTTGATAAATATTCATAAGAGATTATGCCTAAATTATCATAAATCACTGGTTATTGGAATAGGAAGTAGAAAGATAAGATTCACTGAGGCGCATGCGCAGGCATGTGGCAGCTATGAGCGTGTGCTGTAGAGAACACTAGATAGAGCTGTCACCAGCAACAGTGGTAGAGATAAGGTCACCGTCTCCATTGAGCCTGGAACAAAAGAAACAAATTGATGAAAGCGTAGAACTGAAACTGGTAGAAAATCAA